ATGAACCTCACTGAACATTTAAGACTTGAGTATAAAGTAGATGTAAATATGGCTCTTCTCAAAATAATTCTTGGAGGTGCTACTCATGCAGCTGAGAAAGGTGATTGTGTATCTCAACTAGTTTCGACTAATGGATGTCACATAGGTGGAGAATGTGTCAGGATGCCTCAAACATTATCAAAAATTTGCACTTATTCAGAAGCAGTTTATAAAACAATACTAGATGCTGCTGCCAAACTGGAGGACTCTGGATGCTTAAACCGAAAACCAAGCATTCTCGTTTTAGATTTTGATTTGCAGGTATGTTTCGGAGAAGTGCAATTTTTGTTCATCTTTCAAAAAGAGGACGGACTTCGTCCTTGACTTTAGACGAAGGAATGGAGATTTAAATTTGAAATTTCTATAACTTTTCTGTCACATCTTATCGTATAGGCTTTCAATATGAATTTTGATTTGCAATACAATTGTTTTTTAAAAAAATTTTGAAGCATATTTTCTACCTTATTTACCAATATAAAAGTATTCTTTAAAAAATCTTTAAAATTTACGGAGTACATATCAAGAATGGACTCATTTGAAAAGTGTATTATATGGCAAGAAGATTTTAAAAGTTTCTATACACAAGTCCCATTTCACACTCTAGAGTAGAGAGTAATGTTCATCTTTTTAAGAGGGTGAATGGAATTGAACTCTGTTTTAAATGCCTTGAATTTTTTCTTGTGGAATTATTTAGGAGTTCCTTGCCATAAAAATTTGAATAGGGCTGATATTAAGCTCTTTTAAAGACATGTCAATATACATATAAATGCAGATGCTTCCGTGGGAGAACATGCCAATATTAAGAGATCAAGAGGTGTATCGCATGCCCTCTGTTGGTGCAATCACTGCAACTCTACTCAAGCGATGCCTCCACCAAGAGACTCTTGAGGAAGGGGATGGATTATATTCAATTCCATTTATTGATCCCCTAGATTCCTATTATGTGTTGAACCCTAGTGGTGATCTTAGTAGCACACAAGCTGAATTCGAGAACTGGTTCAACGAGCAAAACTTCGAGGTAAATACTACAAGTATTTTTTAGTTGCAGTTAGATTCGTCTTAAAAAGTAATATTTTCAAAACGGTATAGATTTGTTAAGTTGTAACTTTATTAAGGTATAACTATTTGGAATAATCAATTATGGCTATACTCTTAAATTAATTTTTTGTATTAGTTAAATTTCACATACTTATCTTGTTTGGTACACCTTGAAGTATACATTGAACATATGAAAATTAGTTTTTTGTTCAAACAGGATATTTTTTAATGACAAAGATAGGTACAAAAAAATAATAGAAAATGGGGGGACTGTGGGAATACCATATTTGTGAATTGGACAAAAAACAGTCAAGTTTCAATCAAACTACCCAGAGTTGCAACTCATGAGGGCCTCATTGAAATTAATTCTTTGTTGAATACTAATGGGATTAAACAGCTGTAGTTTAAAGAAACAGCTGTATTTTGATTTTAATGTCCACTTTTTCATGTAAATGGATTTCAGCTGAAGAGCCAATGTCATTATTTATTGTGCAGGGAAAGAGTGGAATTGCACCTACTGTTGAGGAACTGACCGGTGCCCTGAAGAAACATGACCTATTCCTTTACTTTGGGCATGGAAGCGGTAATAGGAACTGATCAAATAATTTTCATTTTCGCGTATCCTAAAAAAAGTGGGCTTGGAGCTTAGGATGGTTGCTTAAAGTTACTTGAACAATTCCGTAATTTCTGGACTTAACATTTCAATAAATCATTTAATCTCATGATTATCAAATCATGAAAGGACTCATATTCCTAAATG